CGCTGCTGCTGGCAACATCAGCAGCTGCACACTAGGAAAGAATGCAAGCGAGTGGGTGGGTATGCCTGATATCGTCTCGGAACTGCGAAACTGGAAGTTGCTCCGACGTGTGGAGATGATCAGCGTCTTCACGCGGCGATTGGCCGCCCGCACCAGACCAGCACTGCGAGGGCTCATCCTGGCCGCCGTCAGCTGGTCATACGTGGGAAGCATCTTCACCACCGCGATGATACAGAGGTCCGAGGGTGGGCGTCGAGGTGCCATGGTGGTCGGTTGAGTAGAGAAATTGAGGATCAGGGAAAACAAAGTGCAAAAAAGTGAGAGAAAAAACGTGGAAAAAATGCGGATATGATGCACCTGAGGAGCGCACATGTGGTCTGCTGTGTCCTCCAAAAAGGTAGTGCCTAGCAGGGACAAGGAAATTATCGCGTCCATTTAGTTTAGCGCCCTCTAACGTACAACAGAAGAGGGGACACGGTTCCTGTCTCTGGGAACTTCATTTTCTTTTTGACCAGTGCAGTCCCTTCACGGTCTTCTGTAGAGACAATGGTAGAAAAAATCTGCTAAAATTTTTCACAACTTTTATTTTGAAAAAAAAATTGTAACTGTTTTAGTGTAGTGAAGGCAAAATCAAACATAGTTCACTGGATCCTTATCACCAGCTGGCGGAGAGCAGCTGCTCGAGGGTAGGGTAGGGCTCCTCTTCGCCCAGGATGAATTGCTCATGGGGAATACCCGGATGGAGAAGGGGAAGGGTGGACTGATAGAATTTTAAATCAGCCAAATAAGAGGAGAGGCGAGTCTTTTTTTTAAGAAAGTAGCAGAGATCGGTAGAACGGCTCCCACAGTAAAACTGTTTGAGGTGGATCGCCTGCAGTTGGGGCATCGTCGCCGGCAGGTTCAGCCACTGAGGCAGATTCGAAGAGGTAATGCTCAGCTCCAGATCGAGGGCTCGAAGAGAGCGCAACTGAACGGGCGTCTGCTGCTGCTGCTGCTGCTGCAACCCAAGCTCATTCTCTACGTTCACCACCTCTTCAGTGGTAAAACTTGTCAACTCCCTGGTCATGTCCAGCGCCAGGTGGACCAGCCGCGGAAGCGAGGATAGAGCGGCGAAGAGTTCCCGGATCGGCCGGGGCGCCGCCTCGACGCTCACCGAGAGCGTGTTGAGCGAGGGAAAGTGGCGGCAGAGGAGTGGGACATCGAAGTCCGCCCAGCTTAGCTCACACAGATCGAAGCGAACGATGCGCCGGCGAAGGGCAGGACTGAGCGCCAGCAGACGTTCAGTGGGCCAGCCAGATAGGTGCACCTGCAGGCGGTGGTCCTCCCCCTCCTCCTCCTCCTCATTGTTGACATTGTCAGCGGCGTAACGTTCCAGTGAGCGGAGAGAGGCTTCCGCGGTGGGAGAATCACCACTGTCCTCCCAGGCATAGATGGCCAGCACCCGCAGCTGTGTCATCCGGCAGAGGTCGGACGGCAGCACGGGAAAGCCGATATATGCGGCCATGGAGAGACACTGCAGGGCGGGCAGTTTGTTGATGGCGGCAGCTAGGCGGCGGCTGAGCGGCTCGTTAGGAGGAGAACGACCTCTGCCGGGACCACTTGGAAAATGGTCGAAATTGAGCACCTTCAGGCTGGTCAGCTGACGCGCCCACCGGGGCCGCTCCAGAAGGGCGACCAGGTTCTCGCCGAGGGAGCCGCTATGGCAGGCGAACTGCAGCTCGGTGACGGCGGAGAAGATGGTGACAATCAGCTCGATGGTCGCCTCGTCTGCAAAGAACTGCTCGTCCTCGTGCCTGCCCACCAACAGGTAATTCCACCTGCTGAGTCGGGTGGTGTTCAGGAGTTGATCCGGAAAGTGGTCAGGTCGTTTAGCAGTCGTTGCAGGCGGCAGCAACTGCACGCTAGGAGATGATGCAAAGGAGTAGCCGGGAAGGCCAGATGTCCAGTTGATGGTGTCACTGTCGTTTAAACGTCTGGTCATGACCAGCGTCTTCACGCGGCGATTGGCCGCCCGCACCAGACCGGCACTGCGAGGGCTCATCCTGGCCGCCGTCAGCTGATCATTGGGGAGCAGCATCTTCACCACCTGAATGATACAGAGGTCCGGAAGGGGGCGTCGAGGGGCCATGGTTGTCGGTTGAGTAGTGAGATTGAGGACCAGAGAAAACAAAGTGCAAAAAGGTGAGGAGAAAAAACGTGGAAAAAATGCGGATATGATGCACCTGACAAGCGCACATGTGGTCTGCTGTGTCCTTCACAAAGGTAGTGCCTAGCAGGGACAGGAGAATTATCGAGTCCATTTAGTTTAGCGCCCTCTAACGTACAGCAGAAGAGGGGACACGGTTCCTGTCTCTGGGAACTTCCATTTTTCTTTTTAGCCAGAGCAGTCCCTTTACTGACAATGGTTTTTTGTAGAGTCAACAGTAGAAAAAACCTGCGGAAATGTTTCACAGTTTTTATTTTGAAAAAAAATTGTAACTGTTTTAGTGTAGTGAAGGAGAAATCGAATACAGTTCACTGGATCCTCTCATCACCAGCTGGAGGAGAGCAGCTGCTCGAGGGTAGGGTACGGCTCAACATAGCCCAGGATGACTCGCTCATGGGGAACACCCGGATGGAGCAGGGGAAGGGTGGACCGAAAGTACTCGAGATCAGCTGAGTAGGAGGGGCTGCTGGCCTTTTGCTCAAGAAATTCGGAGAGTTCGGCAGAACGTCTCACACAGTAGAACTGTTTGAGGTGGATGGCCTGCAGTTGGGGCATCGCCGCCGGCAGGTTCAGGATCAGCCACGGAAGCAGACTCGCAGGGATAGAGGTCACCTCTAAATCGAGGGCGCGAAGAGAGCGCAACTGGACGGCGATCTGCGGATAATGATGCTGCTGCCGCCCAAGCTCATTCCCTGCCATCTCCGCCAACTCCATCGCGTCTGCAGCATCAATAGTTATATGACGTGTGGGACAGCTTATTCTCAGCGCCAGGTGAACTAGCTGCGGAAGTGACGACAGGGCGGTGAAGAGTGCCCGGATCGGCCGGGGCGCCGCCTCGACGCATAGCGAGAGCGTGTTGAGCGAGGGAAAGTGGCGGCAGAGGCGTGGGACATTCCCTCGCACATTCCAGCTCAGCTCCGAATGATCGAAGCGAACGATGCGCCGGCGAAGGGCAGGACTGAGCGAATGCAGCCGTTCAGTGGGCAGCCAGCCAGAGAGGTGCACCTGCAGGCGGTGGTCCTCCCCCTCCTCCTCCTCCTCATTGTTGACATTGCCAGCGGCGTAACGTTCCAGTGAGCGGAGAGAGGCTTTCGCGGTGGGAGAATCACCACTGTCCTCCCAGGCATAGATGGCCAGCACCTTCAGCTGCGTCATCCGGCAGAGGTCGGACGGCAGCAGGGGAAAGCCAGTCTCCGCGCCCATGGTCAGACACTGCAGCGAGGAGATTCGGTTGACGGCGGCGGCCAGGCGGCTCAGTAACTTGCCGGGAGGAGGAGGAGGAGGGGGCTCAGTGTCATCACCCGAGACGTCGCAATGGAACACCGTCAGACTGGTCAGCTGACGCGCCCACTGGGGCCGCTNTGGACGGCAGCACGGGAAAGCCAGTCTCCGCGCCCATGGTCAGACACTGCAGCGAGGAGATTCGGTTGACGGCGGCGGCCAGGCGCCTCAGTAGCTTGCCGGGAGGAGGAGGAGGAGGAGGGGGCTCAGTGTCATCATCCGAGACGTTGCAATGGAACACCGTCAGACTGGTCAGCTGATGCGCCCACTGGGGCCGCTCCAGCAGGGCGGCCATGTTCTCGCCGAGGGCGTCGCTGTGCCAGGCGAGCTGCAGCTCGGTGACGGCGGAGAAGACGGCGGTGACGATCAGCTCGATGGTCGCCTGGTCGAAGACCTGGTCCTCCTCCACCAGCAGGTAATTCCACCTGGTGAGTCGGGCGGTGGTGGTGGTGGTGTTCGGGTAGTCCGAAAAGGGTTCACCAGGCGCTGCTGTTGGCAACATCAGCAGCTGCACACTAGTAGAGGATGCAAGCGAGTGGGCGGGTATGCCTGATATCGTCTTGAAACTGGGAAATTGGAAGCTTCTCAAACGTCTAATGATGATGAGCCTCTTCACGCGGCGATTGGCCGCCCGCACCAGACCGGCACTGCGAGGGCTCATCCTGGCCGCCGTCAGCTGATCATTGGGGAGCAGCATCTTCACCACCTGGATGATACAGAGGTTCGGGATAGGACTTCGAGGTGCCATAATTGAGGATCAGACAAAACAAAATGGAAAACGAGGGAAGCTGGCCAGAGAAAATGAGGAAATGGATGTAGCACCTTGCGAGCACGTGTGTTCGTGTTGTGGACACTGCAGATTTTTTGCTGGGGCTGTCTGGGTCAATGCGTGTAAATAGCCGGCGGTGTAAATAGAGAGCTGGTGCCGGCGATGATGAAATGCTATGCATATGAATCATATGATATGATAAAAGGAAAAAAATAAAAAGTGCACCAGATTTTTCAACCACACACCCACTGAGGGGAATTTAATCATTAGCAGTAGCATTGGTGTTGCGTGTGTGCTCTTTACAAAGAAGGAGGAGAAATCTGGGTAATTACAGTTGGAGCTAAGGCTAAGGCTTTGCTGTGGCGAGAAGAGAGGAGGAAGAAGAACTGTTGTTTGTTTTGCGGTGTTGTTTCCTCAGTAGAAGGGCGCGCGAATGTAAAAGTTGTCCGAGGCCCACTTGTCTTTTCGGCCTATGAGCGAGCGGACAAAGCCGACGTGGTCGGGGTTGTAGCTGGGGTCGATGCCGTAGTTGGGGACCTGGGGAGAAAGAAAGAGAAAGAGAAAGAGAAGAGGTGTTTAGAAAATGAGAAATGAGAAAAACCTTTTCGAAACAAAACAAAAAGGCAGCACTTACAAAGCTCTCGTAGACGAGCTCCCGGTGCTCGCCGTCGTTCAGGTCAAACTGCAGACTGTCCACGTCGTAGATGGGCGTGAGAATGAAGTCGCCCATCATCTCCAGCTTGCCCGCGACGTAGTTGTAGCGCGTCTCCGCCCAGTGGCTGTTCCAGTAGAAGTTCCANGCTCTCGTAGACGAGCTCCCGGTGCTCGCCGTCGTTCAGGTCAAACTGCAGACTGTCCACATCGTAGATGGGCGTGAGAATGAAGTCGCCCATCATCTCCAGCTTGCCCGCCACGTAGTTGTAGCGCGTCTCCGCCCAGTGGCTGTTCCAGTAGAAGTTCCAGTCCTTGAACTTCGTCCCCTCCATGTCCCAGTCGTCCATCTGCAGCTTCTCAATGTCCACCACCATGTCGTCGATGTCCTCCACCGGGGTGTTCCACTTGTACACCAGCAGCTCCGAGTAGTCGGCCGCGTCCAGCAGGTACTTCTCCTTGTAGGCGTCGCCGATTGCCTGCAGGTACTCCCGTGTCATCACCGGGCTGTTCACCTGGTACGGCTGAAAAAGAGAGAGAAGAGTAAAAGTTAGCATTGTTGAGGGTGAAAGGAAAGGTGTTCGAAGAAGAAGTAGGGGACTCACAATATTCCGCTCCTTGATCTTCTTCAGCGCCACGTCGGCGTCCGTGTCCAGGTAGACGATCAGGTGCGGGCGGAGCAGCTGGTGGGCGGTGTTGTAGCGCAGGCGGTAGTAGTAATCGTAGGCTAAAAAAAGTTCAAATAACATTAGCATCATAATCAAATAAAAGGATCCTAAATAGAATCCCCGATTTCACTTCTACTCACTGTCCCGCGGCAGCCAACCCGTCTTGTACATCGCATCGGCGAAGACAAAGTCGCTAAAAGGGGATCGCTCGAGGACGACGCCCTGGCCGGTGCTGAGCAGGTGGATCATGGCGTCGATGTACTGCCAGTAGCGCTGGCGGTAGAAGAAGACCTTCAGCCAGCTGACCGCCTCGTGCTTCGGATTCTCGTAGAAGCCCTTCTCGTCGAGGGCGGCCAGCTTCGGGTGGATGTACTGGTTGAGGGTGCGGTAGTCGAAGCCCTGGTCGTTGATGTAGTAGTCCTCGATGCGCGGCTCGGGGAAGTACTTCATGCCGAGGGCGTCGGCGAGTTTCGCCGCCAGCGCCGCCTTCTCGCTGCCCATGTTCCCCTCCACGACCACCACCTTCGAGTTGGGGTTCATCCGCAGGTAGGTCGGATCGAGGAAGTCGAACCTCAGGTGGAGCTTCGTGTAGGACTTGCGCTTGTAGTCGAAGGGCGCCGGGCGGATGAAGGACTCATCCTGGTTGCGCAGCGAGACGATCGAGCGAGTGCTGGTGGTGTTCGGTGTGCTGGTGGCGGAGGTGATCACTGGCAGGATGCTTCTGCTGGCAGAAGAGGAAGAAGTGGTCTTCGCCGCCGAAAGAAGTTTTGATGAAGATCCCGAAGCAGAAGTTGCCGACCGGGCGAGAAGGCTGCCGCAGAATCGCAAGGCGGTGCTCATGGCTGCTGATGCTGATTCTGAAGATGATAAGAAGAATTAGAAGATAAGAAGAAGGTAAACGAGATGACCTTCACCGAAAACAAACCTCGACCCAGGAGAAATAGAACCAGAAAAAAACCTTCCGCACACTTTTGTGGCCGACGCGACCAAAACACAGCCGAAGCAAAGTCAAAGTCAGAGGGGCAGCGCCCTGTGTCCACCTTTACTCCTTTCCAGCACTGCAACGTACTCTGCGAAAGACCCAAACAGCTGGCGGGAGCCCCCAGCACCGCCAGCGTTTTCCGTAGAACGCGTGATCGGCAGACGATTCACGTTTTGTTTTGGATTTGTTTTTGATTTTCGGTTTCTGGACCAGGAGAATCAATGGAGTTACACATGGAGTTTTAATATGAAGAAGTGTAAAAAAAAGTAGCAGTCGTCTAGACGGTAATGAGGTTGGCGGAGAGGAGGTGAATCCGCGTCTGATCGGCGACCATCCTCGCCACCGGCGGCCGCAGCAGGTCGCGCGCCTCAAACTCCAGCTTCTCAAAGGCGATCTCGTAGGCGGCCACCACCGCCCCGTAGTCGAGGGCAATCTTGTTGTCCGCCAGCGCGAGGACCACATTTCGAACGCGGGCCACCCGTTCCCGCTCATCCGCGCCGATCGCCCCGGCGTCAATCACAAAGCCGCCCTGGTTCGCCTCGGCGCAGGCCGTCGTCGTCAGGTAGACCGCCCCATTGTTGCCCAGGGCAATGTACACGCCGCAGGGCAGCGAGTGGCAGTGGATCTTCCGCTTGGCGATCATCGAGGGCGAGACCTGCACCAGCGTCCCCTGCCCGAGCTTGCCGTACTTCAGACTGCGCGTGTACAGGCCCAGGGCGCCGTCCTCGAAGAGCGTCTGCACCTCGGCGCAGATCAGGTCGCCCTCGGCGAGGTACTGCCGCATCAGCAGCTCATCCTCGGTGGTCTTCCGGCGCAGCTCCCCGCCGGGGAGGTTGACGCTGCTCAGTTGGAGAATGGACAGCAGGCGGGCGTTGGTCTCCACGCGCCAGCGCTTCTGCTGCACCTCGGTGATGCGGCCGACGACGACGTCGCCGATGGCGCCGTTGTAGCGCGTCCGCAGGGGCCGCACCGAGATGAGGCGGTTGATGGGCTCGACGACGCCCGCCAGCGAGGCGATCAGCTTCTTCTCCAGCTGGTTCGAGGCTCCTTTGAGGTCTTCTTCGTCTTCGTCCTGGTCCTGCTCCTCGACAAACTCGTCGTGGTAGGTGCCGTGGCCGCGCATGAAGCTCCCGTCGATGGTGATGGTGTCCCCCGGCAGGACGTACTTGACGCGCTGCTGGCGCTCGTTTTCAATTACAATTGGGTCCAGCTGCGCCTTCACCTCCTCGAAGGAGAAGAGCTCGATGTTTGGCTGCTGGTTTTGGTGGTGGTGGTGGCCCTGGTGGCCATGGTGGCTGCTGCTGGTGTTTAAAGTAGTGGTCATGGTTGTGGAGATCTGAAAGAGGGAAAAAGAAAATGAAGATGAGTTCTAAATGGAAAAGATGATTATAGTACCTTTTGTGTTGAAGTGTTTGACACCTGAGATTATCGCCTGTCAGGTGTAGTGATTGGAGCACTGAATACACAACAAAAGAATCCCGAATCTGAGAATCCGAGATTTAGAAATTCACCCAAAAAAAGTTGTCCGCTCTGTGTTGTTTACAAGCGGCAAACACATGTGGCGGCGGCGGCCTGCACGTCCTCTACGACTGCGTCAAACGACGACGCCTGAATTTCTCAACTTTTTTTTGCGCTCTTTTTTGCAACTTTAAAACTTTGACTTTTCATTTTCTTTTTCTCTCTTTTCAATCTAATCTTGTTTTCTATTTTTAAGAGCAGGTTTTATTCTCTCTCTCTCCTTTTAGTAGCAGCAGTAAATCTTGCAACTTTACAAGCTTTCAGGTTTCCCTCTGCCTACGCGTCGCTTCATCCCTTTTAGATTTCGCCGAATCTCCAGAGAGTGCTCCTTTGAATCAGAGGGCTCCTCCTTTGAAAAAGGCCAACTCAAAGTTGTCAAGGGAATTATTATTCTATTTTCCTTGCTTTCAAATTGCTAAACGAATTTGCTACTACCCGCTCCCGACGAATGAGTTTCAGCAGCAACGACAGCAGAAGCAGCAGCAAAAAGAGAGTACATACATTAGTAATCGTTGAAGAAGAAGAAGAAGAAAACGAAGAAGTGGAACGAGAGAACTTTGCATGCTAAGCAAGACCATAAACATGAGGAGAAAGAGCAACTCCGAGGACGATTCTAGGATTTTATTTCCTATTGAAACACACGCACTGAAGGCCCTACTCGGAACGGAAATATTCAGTCAAGCGAACGAATTTGGAAATTATCATATATGCGCTGCTGCCAATAGCAAGAAAAGAAAAAAAAGCGCAAATGCGCACAGGCAAATCGAAATCGATCGACTCACTCACTTTTGGGGAATTATTAATAACGACTCTGCCCAACAACTCTGACGAACAACTCTAACTCTAACTAACTCTCTAACCGATTTCAAGCGAAAGGAATCATCAGATTGAAAGGAATGAAGAAAATGAGCGAGCTAATAATAACATCAGATCTGATGTTATTCAAGGGAAATGTCGATGGGCATCATCATCATCATCAGAGGAAAAAGATCCTCTGCAAAGAAAGCTACCACAGAGGAGAAGAAAGAGCAAGAAAGGAGAGCCTAAAGAGTAAACAGCAAATTAGGCAATCGTACAAATCACCTAAGCAGCAGCAGTATCCACACTTCTTTATCTCCTCTGCTGTGGTACTTATTATCACATTATATCTTTTGCTCAAATATTTTGACTGCACTAATAATCTCTCACTTTTTTCTAGCAGCACACACTCAGCCTGGAGCAGAGATCTGCTGTTTTGNCGTAAGCAGTATCCACACTTCTTTATCTCCTCTGCTGTGGTACTTATTATCACATTATATCTTTTGCTCAAATATTTTGACTGCACTAATAATCTCTCACTTTTTTCTAGCAGCACACACTCAGCCTGGAGCAGAGATCTGCTGTTTTGGAAATAGGCAACAGAAACCTTTGGAACCCCGAGAAGTGGAAGAGCAAACAAACAGTCGCCACCGCNATTATATCTTTTGCTCAAATATTTTGACTGCACTAATAATCTCTCACTTTTTTCTAGCAGCACACACTCAGCCTGGAGCAGAGATCTGCTGTTTTGGAAATAGGCAACAGAAACCTTTGGAACCCCGAGAAGTGGAAGAGCAAACAAACAGTCGCCACCGCTGCGAATGCAATGCAGCAGAACACTTTTCTCGCATTCTCGCTCTCTCACTTGCTCTCAGCAAACAGAACCACCACCTCACTTTGTACTCTCT